TAGAAACTTAAAAAAAAAAAAATGCCTCCTTGGGCTTCCTGTGACGCTTAAATGAGGGGTCAGGCACAGTGTCTTTTGATTGGGTGTGCCCACATGCAGATAAAGGATTGAAGAGGGCATCTTCTGATTGGTCCAGCGGCACCATATTCAAATGAAGGTTTGAAAATAGCCAGGTTCTGATTGGTTCACGGTAACACTTTTCTGATTGGTTCTGTCTACTTGATGGTAGCCAGCACTGTATAAGTGTCCCCTCCCCAGAAGACCAAACCATGTAAGGGGCACACGTCCTGCTGTGGCCCCTGTGCACACGTCCATCACCATCTCCATAGCATTCAAAGCCCATTCCAGCCACACCATCACCCTCCATCTCCACTCCGAAGCACATGGTGAAAGCCCTCCAAGGTACAAGGCGTTCACTCATCCGAGACAGTTCCCTGGGCCCCCTCCCAGGGGTTCCTTCCTCCCAAGAATCCCCAACATACCCACACCCAGAGGAACTTGGTCCTCCATGGTGTCGTCCAGGGACACCAACCCACTCCTACAGTAGAGTTCTTTTCCTTCAGTACTGGGACAGAACCCTGCGTCCTCACCTGACCAACATTCCCAGCCCAGTTTTTAATGTTTTACTTTGAGACCAGCTCTCACAAAATTGCCCAGGTAGAATGCAAACTTGCCACCCTCCTGTTTCAGCCTCCCAGCGTGCTGGGATGACAGAAATGTATTAAATATCTGCCTCCTGCAGGATATAAACTCCTCAGTCCTCCTAACACCTGTCACCACACGGGCCTCATAGCAGGCCTTCAAGATATTTGTTTTCTCCAACGCCACCTTTACTGGAAAGTGTTTTAGTCAGTTTCTCTTCCCTGGGACAAAATACCTGACATCTACAAGTAGGAATGACTTTAGGTCCATGGTCGGCTGCTCCCAGGCAGGAACACACAGCGGAAGGGTCTGGCAGAGGAAGCTGCTCACCTCACCGTGGGCAGGGAGCAGAGGAGGGGAGCCGGGTACATTCTGTCCACAGCTCACACCCCAGTGACCAGCCGCTCCCCGGCTCTTTGCAGACCTTTCAGCATGAAAAAAGTGAGCACTGTTGAGTGTGAGTTCCTGGTCAAAAGAGGCACGGGCAGCCACGATGATGACTTTACCCTGCGCAGAGTGGAGAAGCGGATGGCGGAGGAGGGGGCAAAAAAAATCCCCAGTGCCCCAAATAAATTAATAATAAAAGTGTGAGCCCCGACTGTTGGACAAGCTGCCCAAAGTGCACTGTTGTGAATGTAGTCAGCTGGGTGCTTTTTGGTTGTTTTTTGTTTTATTTTGTTTTTGTCTTTGCGGTATGAGTTAAATCCAGCACCTTCACACGGAGCTGCATGCCCAGCCCTTTTATTAGTTCTTACTCTGAGACAGGATCTCCCTAAGTTCCCCAGGCTGGGCTCCAACTTGCAGTCCTGTCTCAGCCTCCCAGCGTGCTGAGATAACAGTTGTGCACCATTATACCTGGCTTGGGGTCTGTTCTTTCGTCATCAGGGGAACAGCACATCAACTGTGATAAGGACAGCACCCCACGAAGATCCACCATCTGGAGCATGGGGCCTCCCAGGACTCGTACCCTAGCCTGGTCTCACCATGGCTGCCCACAGTTCCCAGGCCGCAGGCGGACCCTGAGCGGCTCTGCATGTCAAGGCTTCGAGCTGTCATCAAAGGGCAATGCCAGCAGAGGCCACTGCTGTGCAGGAAGCCAAGAAGCCCTGAGGCCAAAGTCAGGGCAGCTGTCCACCTCCCTGGCCCCGGGTACCAGGGCCCGGCACTTCCTGCCCAGCCAGGCCCAGCACTGAATGAATTTTAAAGAACAAAGGTTCCCATGCAAAATCACGGGGCAAGGACACAGCTGTGATCAACCAGTAAGACATAGGTGGCCCTGGTCAGAGGAAGCAGGTCCCGGAGCATGAGCACATGAGGAGGACAAGAGCGTTTTAGGAAGAGATGACTCGGGGTCTGGGTCACCCGCCCAGGTGACTGATGATAACTCAGTACCTATCTCTGGGGAGGCTGTGGGCCTGGTTGTTTCACCGTTATCTGGAGGCCTGGCCTCCAACAGATGGGCCTTGGACCACAGCTGCCCCGTGTTCCTATCTTCTGCCTGCCCCCACCCCCACACAGAGAGCCCAACCCCGTGTGGCTGCCTAGACTGTGTCTACCCAGCTTTGCTGTCTAGAATAAAATAATTCTTCTCCAGTCCTGGGAATCGAACCTGGGGCCTTCACATCAAGCTCCAGCCCCAGAACTTTTTTGTATTTTTTGAGACAGGGTTATACTAAATTGCTAGGCTGGGCTTGAACTTTCAATCCTCCTGCCTCAGCCTCTTAGAGTGCTGAGATTACAAACTTTATCCTTTACATAATCCCAATAATTTACTTTTTTGGTGTTGATTTTATGGGGGTGGGATGTTTGAGACAGAGTCTAGGCCCACTTGTAACTCACTGTGATCCTCCTGCCTCAGCCTCCACAGCCAGCAGGCAACGGTAATTTAAATGATGGTCCATCATACTCAAAAGTTGAAAGAATCGAGCCAACAAAGGAAATATGAAACAGAATTTCTTCTGCTATACACCCAATCCAGCATCATTTCTGTGGCTTCCATACGTCAGCATTTCCACCTGGTAACATTAATGTTAACTGGGACTCTATTAGCGCTATGGTCTCATCTGCACTTAATTATAAATGCATTTGTTTTATAATTGGACAAGCGCTACCGCTTTATGTTTGTGCATACGTGAAAAGAAGTCCACTGAAGTAGTTCGACAGCCCAGGACTCTGTAAATCTGAACACAACGCTGCACGGCACTCACCCTCAGAATTTCATCCACCGCGAAAAAACATTTTTTTGTGTGCACAAAATTCTCTCAGCACCCACCTTTCTTGCAGAATAAATCTCTCCCCGTAAGCTGGAGACGGCCCCTTCTCTCTCGGCCCACAAGCAATGTGTCTTTTTTCGGGCTCCCCGAAATGCAGATCAAAAAGACAAAGAACAAAAGCCGAACTCGCCAGCCGCCAGCCACGCTGGGGGGGGGGGGGGGACTCCGAGCTCCCGAGTGACTGCGTCCCTTCTCAGCCCTGCGGGAAGGACGGTTTTGCCACCGGGGCAGGAACGCCGGCCGGGCCGCGCCTCCACTGACATTTCTTTGTTGCAAAATGTTTGGGGCTCGCGGGGCTCCCAGCGGGAGAGGCGGCGCGGGTCCTCCCCAGAGCCAAACTGGAGCCGCGTCCCGCACAAAGGCGCTGAGGCTCCGCCGGGGGTCAGCGCCCGGCCGGGTCGCCGCAGGCCCAGTGCGCTTCCTGCCGCGGGCAAAGGGTCCCGGCGCGCGGGCTGCAGAGCCTCAGGACCCCGGCCCCGCGGCCCCGCACCCGCCCGTGCACCCCAACCCTGCCCGGGGACCCCGCCCCCCGGCCGGGACTGCGCCTCCTAGAGAATCCCCGGACTCAGCCCAAGCCCTGCGCTGTGTATCACAGAGCCAGGACGACACCTTGCGACTCAAACCAGCACCTGTCCGGGTCGCAGAGCCTCTTCCTCTGCTGAGATTGGGGTGTCTTTCAGGGGCTCCCCAAAGGCCTCATCCCAGGAGCACTGTCGGAGTCGACCTATTCAAAAAAACCAGGAGCCAGGGCATGGTGGGGCACACTGTCAACCCAGCACCCTGGGAGGCTGAGGCAAGCTCTGGGCGACTTCGTGTCCTAGCCAGGCCTTGTCTCAAAAAAAAAAAAAAATTGTGTTTCTCAGGGGCTCCCCAGTGCTGGGACTGCATCCCCAAGACCTCAACCCTAAATGGATTTATAGCTTGGGCCTCATACCAACTGCACTCAGGACACACATGCACACACACACACATGCACACGTGTGCACCGCACAGCCTGTGCCAAGCCCAGGGCCACAGGAAGACGCCCGTGCTTAACTCCTGTGCCGCCCTGGGTGGCCACTCAGGCCCCTGGCTTCCTGTATGGCTTCTGCTCCATCCTAGTCCAGCTCCCTCCGGACATTGCCTCTGCCTGATGGCAGCAGCAGTTGCCATGAATCTAATCAGCATGGCCTGACATGGGTGACAAAGGGTACTGGGGAGCGGTGGCTATGCCTGTGATCCCAGCACTCAGGAGGCTGAGGCAGGAGGACTGCCATGAGTTCAAGGCCAGCCTGGGCTACATAGCAAGACCTTATCCCCCAAAACATGGGCCAGACTTAGACTATGTAGGCGTCAGACTGCAGACAATAGAGTCGGGGGGGGGGGCAGTATTGAGAGTTAAACCAGGGTCTTTGTATGAAACTACATCCCCAGCCCCCCTTTATTCTGAGACTGGCCCCTAATTCCCTAAATGGCCTGGGCCAGGTTCAAAGTTGCCATCATCCTGCCTCAACCTCCCAGAGAGCTGGGATTACAGGTGCCTGCACCACCACACCCAGCTACCAACTTTTATTACAGGTAAGAACAATGAATCTGAAATGTGCCACGCAGAAGCCAGAAGCCCTAAGGCAGAGGCAGCAGATGGGACGGGCGAGGGAGCCCCGAGACACTGTGATCAGCACCATAGGGCACTACTCCTGTCTCCCTACCAGGCCGGTGCAGGTCCCCTCCCTCCCATGGGACAGAGGTCAGCACTTTACACATCTGAGCCTTTAACATCCCAAAGCGCCAATGGGGCACGGCCTTGAGGATCTTGGGGGTTTCCTGGCCTTGAGCTTCTTTGTAGCCCAATCTAGAAATCCTCCTGCTCAGCCCCACAAATGCTGGGATGTGCACCACAGGACTGTGGAATGTGCTCCCAGGACTGTGTCAAGAATAAAACATAATGCTCAGTAACCCACTGGAGGGGGTCGGGGCTTTAGCTCAGCGACATAAGCACCTGCCTGGCAAGCACACAGTTGTGAGTTTGATCCCCGGTACCGACGTAATAATAATAACCCACCAGAAAAACTCGACCCCTTAACAGAAAACTAAAATTCACAAGTCTGATTTTCAAGGAAGTCTTTCAGCCAATTTATTACAGCATTTTCCAGCTTTGTATCCAGCACAACTCAATGAGACAAGTACAGGATGACTGGTACCCCGAGCAAGGTGGGTGCTCGCTCTCCTTGGCTCCCCAACCCCAGGGCATGAACATGGTGTAGGACCAGACCAGCACCGGGCAGGGAGCTGGGTGCTGGGTGCGGCTGGGTCCTTCCTAACAGCTCCCGAGCGAACGTGAGGAGCTCGAGTCTCGATCTGCGACTCATGACAGCTGACTGTCGATCCCCTGTGTGTCCACAAAGCCATCTGTCCCCCACACGGCCACCCACGCCCACCAGATGCGGTGCCGCCAGGGACTCGGGATTTTCTTTCACAGAAAGAGTACCGATTCCTTTGAGGGGTTGTTTTGTTTCTTCTTTTGCCTCCAAAGAACCTAACGATGTGATTTAAATAGGAAAAGTATTTCAGTCCCGGGAGCAAAATGCACTCTTTACAAAAATAGTATGTCAGAAACGAAAACAAACTCTTTCAAACTCTTTTACCAAAATAATTCACCTTTTCACACTATATTCTCCACAAGCCAGCTTAATAAACAGGAACCATCCTAATAAGACAGGAACCATCTGCTATTGGCTCAAAGAATGTCACTCCAAGTGTCACTGTCCCCCTGCTCTTGATTTGAGTGGGAAAGGAAAGCTAAGAAAAATAGCTTCTGTGCAATTCCGAAAGGCTTGCGGCATGAGACCTGCGGACGGAGCACTCACCAGCCCCATGCACTCCTCCTTGGACACCTCTGTGACATCTGTCACCGAAAGCCTGTGGCTGGAAGCCTTTTGACAACAACCCAATCGGAGTAAAGCAATAAATAATATCCGCAAACAATATGGCTCAAGCTCTCCAAACAACTGTCCGAAAACCACGCGTCTCTTTCGGGATTTTTGTTGTTTTCATCTCGGTTTTTTGTCATGTCAGTTTGGCCGCAGGCCGGGCTGGCTTCAGAGCGCTAGTTGCCTCTGCGAGCAGCTGTTTGGTTTAAGGCGTTGCAAAGTTACCGAGAGCTGGACTGGGCCAGTCCTACATCCGATGCCCCCAGCGCAGTAAGGCAAAATATTTCAGCCTTGCAAGCAGCAAAGGGCAGGGGTGAGCTAATGGCAAGGTATCCTTACCAAAGGAAAGACGGCATCACCTGAGAGGGTGCTAAGCGCTCTGCAGGAAGCTCTGCAAGGTGGCCTAGTCGGAGCCCCAGCTCCAGCCCACAGTGACCCAGACCCTGCAGTGCCCTCGCCTGACCACTGTGCCCACCATGCCCAGGTGGCAAAGCATCGCCAGCTCAGAAGTGCTGACCTACGTGCCTGGGCAGAGTGGTATTCCACGGGGGGCACTGTCACCCCCAGGCACAGCCCTCGGACACCCTATTGCACATCAAGAACCAATGGCTGGGGTGGGCTGGGGCACAGCTTTGCACGCGACCTGCGAATGCACTCTCACAGGTTTGTCACTTTGCATTTAACAGCATCACTTCCCACTACACCCCCACCCCGGAAACGCTTCTGGGTCTCGCTCAGCCCAGATGGTCACAGTGCGCTCCCAAGTAGGGTCTGTCACAGGGATGCCAGGCTTCTGTGTTGTGGCAAAGGGCCGACCAGTGCCTGTCACGCTGAGGCTGAGTGGACACCCTGGTTTTCAAAGGGGGGTGGTGGCTCCCTCCAGAAGGTGAAGTGGCTGAAGGTGTCCGAGCAGGGGAAGTCGCAGGAGGGGCTGCGTTTCAGGAGCGGGAACACGTGGTCCACCACCTCGCAGAGCCGTGCATATCTGCAGGGAAGGCACAACGGGACATGAGCAGGTGGCTTTTGGTGCCAGCTCCATGCTGGGAAAGATTCTCAGGGACCTGAGAGGCAGGGATGGGAGTCAGGCCAAGAGCACAGACCGGCATGACTGGAGATCAGCGGACCACAGAGCCACACTCGGACACCCTAGAGAGCCCAGGCTGCAACAGAGATCCTCCTGCCTCAGCCTCAGAGAGCACAGAAGTCCCAAGGAAAGGAGGAGCCGCTTGTGGTGGCCCACGCCTGTCATCCCACCACTTAAGGAGGCTGAGGCAGGAGGATCGCAAGAATCAGGAATCCGCAAGATCCGAGGCAGAAATGTTCTACTAAACAGGGCCGAGTGGCTTGGAGGGCCGGGTGGGAGACAGCATGCATGCCCATAGCCGGACAGCCTCTCTGGGTGCAAAGCTAGGCTGGCGCCTTTCCTCTGGCTGCTCCTAGCTCGGAGGCCTCTGGCTTGAGGTGCTGGGTGGGGCACAGTGTCTGCCCGGCTGCAGCTGCAGTTGGCAGCAGAGCCAAGCCTGCCCTGTCCACAGCACACATGGCTCCATCACCCGCGGGATCCCTGCAGCACACTGGGAGGCTGAGGCAGGAGGATTGCAAGTTCAAGTCCAGTCTGGGAAACTTAACAAGAACATGTCTCAAAATGGAAAAAGAATGAAGGAATGAACATGGATACAGCTCAGCAAGGGGGCCCGGGGTTCAATCCGCAGTACTGCAGAACAAAACAACACCAAACCAGGCTCTGGCTTAGCCCACAGACTCACACGAACTAAACTCTGACCAAAATACAAGGCGGATTCTTCGCCGTTTCTCGGGACGGGGAGGTGCTCAGGGTATGGCAGGTCCTCGTGTTCCAATCCGCCCAGATTTCTCATTCATAGGCGAGGCCTCCGAGCCTAACTTGGCAAACTGAACCTCAAAGTATTCAAGTCCGTTCAATTCTTTCTCTCACAAAGCTGAACCTCCTTTAAATTTTGTTGCTGCTATTCTTTGTTTTTTCTGTTTTGTTTCTTTGAGATGGGGTCTTGCTCTGTGGCCCAGGCTGGCCTCAAACTCACAGTGATTCTCCTGCCTCAGCCTCCAAAGTGCTGGACTAACCAGGGTGCACCACCACGCCCAGCTTTATTCATAATTCACAGAGTTTGAACCTGTGATCATCCTGCCTCAGCCTCCTAGAGGTGGGATTACGAGTGTATGCACCACTGGGCCCAGGAAAAATATATTTGCAAAGGGATTAAAGATGAAACACAGGCAGCAATGGCTGAGCAGCCCAATGTCCCCACAAAGCCCCCTCGGGGACAGGGCCCCAACACTCACGACGAGATGTTAGTCTTGGCGTGCTCCTGCACCAGCTCGCCCTTGGGGTTGACAGTGAAGATCCTGTTCAGAGAGACGCCCACTTGCTTGTAGGAGTAAACGTCCTGGGGTCGGCAGAGGAGGCAGAAGGAAGAATTAGAGGAACAAATTCACGGACAGTGAACTCAGGGCCTTCGCACTGAGCTCCATTCCCTGCCCTTTGTGTGTTTTTTATTTCAAGAGCAGAGGCCCACAAAGTTACCAAGGCTGGGCTTGAACTTGCAATCCTCCTGCCTCAGCCTCCCAGAACACTGGGATGACAGGTGGGGGGCCACCAGCCCCAGCTTGTGACCAACGGGCCTTGAGGTGCCTAGTCCCTGGCAGGGCCCGCAGGGCCCAGTCATCAAGAGTAGCAGTTTGCTGGCCCCGTGCGGGTGGAAGTACTCACGGTGGGGCGGTTCCCGAAGGCAGCGTAAAAGGGCTCTGTGTTCGGGAAAAACAGGTTCTTGATGTCAGTCAGACACTGCACTTTAAACTTCTCCGGCTTCTTCTCAATCACTTCTCTGTTAAAACCAACACAGGAACAGCAGATAGGGATCAGGATGGCTTCGTCCTGAACTGCTTTTCGCATCGAAGCTGGCCAGTCCACCTGGACCCAGGAAGGATGGGCACATGGCCAATCTGCCCATCCAGGGCCCTCTGGGGAAACAGAATTGGAGCACGAAGCCCCCGGGCCAGGTGGCAATGCACCTCTGCCAAGTCAGCACTGTGGGAGGCTGAGGCAGGAAGATCTCAGGTCGGAGACCAGCCTGGCCAACTTAGTGACTTAGTGAGACCCTGCCCAGCCTAGAAAATGAAAATAGTGGCGGGGATGCAGCTCAGGGTGAAGGCCAGGTTCCATCTCCACACCCCAAGGGAAGAGCTGGTGGGGGGCAGGCGGGAGGCGGGTACCTGTGCAGGGCCGAAAACAGGCTGCTGGGGCTGAGCAGCAGGGGCCCCTGGGGCAGCACCGTGCCGCGCTCGTTGACCCAGTGCAGGTAGCCTCGAGTCATGTCGGCCATGCCAATGGCCCGCGCCGAGCAGTAGAGGAACTTGTACCCGTTCCTGGAAGAGACCAGCCTCACTTCAAATGGCGGCCACATGGAACCTTTTTTTTGATTTTCTGGTTTTTGGGGACAGAGTCTTGCTATGGAGCCCAAGCCTGCCTCGAATTCCCAGCGATCCTCCTGCCTCAGCCTCCTGAACACTGGAATACAGGAGTGTGCCACTGTGCCCACACAAAGTCCGTCAGGGGTGGGGTGGGGTATGGGGTGGGGGTCGGACCCAGGGCCTCTTCACCAAGCCACACCCCAGCCCTTTATTTATGTACTCATTTTGAGGCAGGGTCTGTCCAGGTCGCCAAAGTGGCGTCACCTGCATGGGCAGCAGGGGGGACGCAGGGCAATCCAGAAGCCACCCCACCCGCACTCACTGGCTCACTTTGTGGTAGAGTTTGGCGATGCCCTGGTGGGTCCAGTCCTTCCCGAGTGTGGGCAGGATGTGGCCGAGGGTGTCCGATCTGAACAAAGACAAGAAACATGAAAGTCACAGAACCCAAGTAAAACCAAAGCCCTCTCTGTGTCAACGCACCACCCACACCTCACAGGGAACACTGAGGAGATGGGGCGGCAGCGACACCTGTCATCCCAGCATTCCGGGAGGCTGAGGCAGGGTGATTCCAAGTTTGAGCCCAGCCTGGGTGACTGAGTAACCCTGTGCGACCCCGTGTACCTGGTGATGGTCCCGTCGATGTCGGAGATGATGACCTTGTCATCCCAGTCCCAGAGGTAGATGGTGCCCTCGCAGCGGCAGGTGCCCTGGTACTGCGTGGTCACACTGAAGACCACATCGTTGGGGCCATTCTTCAGCTTTAAACTTTTCTGAAAAACACCAAGGCACCGTGTCCACCTGAGGGAGGGCCACCTGGCTTCCCTGCCATGAAAAGGAAGGTTAAGCTTTAAAAAAATCACCCTGCTCAGGTTGGGTACAGAAGTGCACATCTGTCATCCCAGCACTGCGAGGGAGGCTGAGGCAGGAGGACTGCCAAGTTCAAGTCCAGCCTGAGCAACCTGGGGACTTGGCAAGACCCTGTCTCAAATTTTTAAAAAGGCTGCAGATGGGGCTGGGGATTTAGCTCAGTGGCATAAGCACCTGCCTTGCAAGCAGGCAGTCGTGAGTTCAATCCCCGGTAACAATAAAAAGGAAAAAGACAAAAAAAAAAGGCTGCAGATGTAGCTCAGTGGAAATCCCTGAGCTCAAAGCCCAGCACAGTGCCTGCCTGGCAAGTACAAGGTCATGAGTTCAATTCCTGATACAAAAAAAATTCCCATTTCTTGTTCCAGCAAAATAATCACAAACTTAGAACAGGACTCGACCTTCCATGCCATGTTGTGAAGGGGCTTGTTACCTGGACACAGATCTAAGCCAAGTGTAAAAATACACTTCCTTAAGTGACAATGGTTCAGCTGGATAGGGTTAGTGTTTCTTCTTTATTAAGATGGGGTCTTACTGCGTAGCCTGGGCTAGCCTTGAATTCATGGTGAGCCTCCTGCCTCAGCCTCCCCAGTGCTAGGACTCCAGGCGTGAACAACTGCCTCACACCCATAAGGTCACAGTCCAGACTGGGCTGATGAGGCTCGCCCGGGTCAGGACACAGGACCACCTGGGGCCACCCAGGCTCTTCACTGGACCCGTGGTGTGCACAGCCAGGGGCTCCAGCCCCAGCATCTCAGGACCCAGCTGGCTGCCTGTTCTGCCTTCCATTCAATCCATCATGAACAAGCCCACATGCCTCTTTCTCGGGATAAACAGGGAAGTTTCTAGAAAGGGCAGAATTTTTGCTCACAACTGGCTGTGGTTTGAAACAGAGTGCAGGTACAGGAGAGGCCTAATTAGAAGTGGGGATGCACAGGCATGCACACACCCATACATGTGCATACACGGGAGCACACACGCACACACACGTGTGACACCACGACCCACAGTCCCCTGCTGTCTGAGGCCCCCTCAATCCCTGTACAGCTTTTTTATTTATACCAATTTATGAAATGTGAGCTAACGGGTCACCCCTCTCGCCCTTCATCTTTCGTGGTAGTGCATACCTATAGTCCCAAGCACTCAGGCTGAGGCAGGATGATCACTGTGAGCAAGGCCAACCAGGGATACACAGCAAGACACTGACTCAAAAGCAAAAATAAAAAACCGAAAAAAAAAGAAAAAAGAGGGATGCATGGCCACTAGGGGAAGCCAGCACTCTGGTGCACAAAGGCGCTGGGTAGACGGGAGAAGCAGACGAGTGGCCCCTATCGGCCTCCTGCACCCCCCAGGTCAGCAAAGCTCCACCAGGACTCACCAGCTGCTCTGACGTGAGCCTCAGTGTCTTCTTGTAGCTGACGCTGGACAGCAGAGGCAGGTGGCCGGTGGAGGCTGGCTTGGTGGCTGTGTGCTCCTCGTCACTGGAGGATGACTCGTGCTTGATCCTGGAACACACAGGACGCCAGCATCACCGATGGAGAGGTGAGCGAGGGTGTCACTGGCTCTGCGTCCACAACTCGGCCACACTGTCCCCCTGGCACCGTCACCCCGGGCACTGAGCTTGTCTGGGAGCCCCAGGGACCCCATCACACAGCACGCAGCACCTGCACCAGGCTGTGCTTCTCCTCCACGTGTCTCCTCACCTGCTGCCATTGCTCTCTCTGAATTTCTAACTTTCTGAGGCCCTGGAGACTGAACCCAGGGCCTTCTCACTGAGCTCCACCCCCAGCAGCCCCCGTTTTGAGCCAGGGTCTGGCTAAGTCACCAAGTTGCAAGCAATGGGCTTGAGCTGACAGGCTCCTGCCTCCTCCCGGAGCGCTGGGATAATAGGCATTCACCACCACTCCTGGCCCATTTTCCTTAACGTGCCGGGAAACACGCTGGGCCCTGTCCACCAAAAATTTCAGGATGCAAGCAGGGGACAGCCCGGAAAGAAAAGGAACCAGCAGAGCTAAGGCCAGGAGAGGCTTGCTGACCAGAGGATTCTCAGCTGGGCCTCAGATCCTGTCGGGAAAATGACACGTTTGACCCAAGGCCCTTGGTTCCACACCCCACGGATCCTAGCAAAATGTGAACCAGCAGCCAGGAGGATTATAACAAGGACAGCTGCTTCATGGGGTGGCCAGCCACTCAACAAGTTGGGGAAGGAGGCCGGGTTGCCCACGAACTTGGGAAATGACTCTGCAGCAGACAGTTCGGAGTAGAAGGGAAGCAGTGTGCAAATTGGGGTTCTTAGATTACTGCGCCTCTGGGCTGGGGGGAATGGTGTGATTCCCAGCTGCTGCTGTAAGGACAAACGCCTGCAGGATCCACACAGCGCCTTGTAGAAGGGAAACAGAAAACACAGGTACGAAACTTAAAAACTAAAGCGGCACTGCACGGCCATCTGGCAGCATCTTCCAACTGTCCCCTGGCAGAGCTTCTGAAAGTGGCTTTTGCTTATCAGCCTCCACTAGCAGCAACAAACCAAGACAAAAGGCTCCCCCATCATCCCAGCGTTCAGGAGGCTGAGACAGGAGGATTATCAGGAGTTCAAGGCCAGCCAGGGCCTCATAGCAAGATCCTGATTCAAAACAACCAAACAAATGAAACACCAACAAAAAGTCTCCAAACCTCATAAGGAGCATAAAAGCCGAACATGCCCATACCAATTAAAAGATTTCTAATTTCTCAGGGGAGCCTCAGACACACTTTCTAAAACCTCATTTCCACCTCTGTCATGCTGGTGAGGTGACTGACTTGGGAATGACAAGCAGTTGGACCATTTCTGGCCAAAGGGAACCATCGCTGTTGTCAACATTGACCGTGACTGGTCGTTACTGGGCGTACGGGTGACTGGCGGGGGTCCTGGTTCCCTGCACCCTCAGCCTGCGTGGTGCCGCTGGGGTTGTCTCCACCACAGCCAGAAACCTCATGATGACATCATTGTCTCTCTGCATGGCTGACATGGCTGCCACGACCCACCCCAACCATCCCTGTTCAGGGGCAGCCTCACCATGCTATGTGTGGAGTGTGTCCAAAAACCACCGACCAAGACTGCACAGTGTGGGGTGACCCTCATCCTGTGGGAAGGGAACCATGGAGTGGGCCAGGGCTCCTGTCCCCTCCTGGGGTTGTCACTTCTTGCATCAGCATCCCCCAGTCCATATGGGCATCAGCGCCCGTGGGTGGCTCTGTGCTGGCACAAGCAGCAGCTGGCTGGGGTCACCCAGCCACACCTCAGTGAAGCCAGGCTCCTGGCCACCTCGGTGTGGGTCCAAAGACACCATTACTGCACAGTCTTCTGATAACGGGAGGCAGACACCACCTGCCAGACAAATACAGCTGGTCTGCTGCCTGCTGGTGACTCCCAGGGAAAGACCACACTTCTCAGCCACCAGACACAGCAGCAAACACCACCGCTCCCTTCCTGGCCTACACCGGCCCGAACTCTATGTTCTCCAATGGCAAAATGTCCAACAATCACACCTGTCCCCAGAGAAGGTATGGGACAGAACCAGCACGGGGACCCTGCACCCTCCCTCTCAAGAGGGACCAGGACATGGGGAACCAACAGGGGACCAGTGGAAAGTGCCCCAACCCCATAGGTCAGGCCAAGAAAGACCACACTGAAAACCCAGAAAATGCAGTCCTGGGTCCACCCACCCACCTTCACAGTGAACTAGGGAGAAACCCTGTGACACAGGTATCCACTGCTCACCTCGGACTCCAGGAATAAAACACAGCTACGGCCAGCAATCAGCAATTGCTGCACCAAGGATCAAGCCAGCGTCCCCCAAAAACCAACCAAGGGTGGAGAAAATCTCACCTTCCTTTCACTCACCACCCTGGCCACTAACCACACTGATCAAGACAGGAGTCTCGCCCTTAACTCACCTATCAGTATTTTTCTTCTTCTTTTTAATGTTTTTCAGTACCAGGGATTGAACCGAGGGTCTTCACCTGGAGCTACATCCCCAGCTCTTTCCATTTTTTGAGACAAGGTCTCACCAAGTCACTAAGAAGCCCACATGCTGGACTCAAACTTGCCATCGTCCTGCTTCAGCCTCCCCGGGTACAATCCTGGTTTCTTTGGGTGAGGGTGCTGTAAAACGTCACTGTGCAGACACTCACTATCGTACAGTCTATCATCGGGGAGTCTATTATTGGGGAGCTGAGTCAGTCTCAAATCCTAATCATCAATAGTGATTAATAGCATCACAACCTGTCTCCTACGCCAAGTTAACATCTCTATCAGCATTGAGAAAAGGCATGAAGTCCTAGTTAGTATTGAATTCCAGACAAAAGTTCCTTCAGCAGTGCAGACTTTCACGCCACTGTTAATGTCATCATTATTAGATCTCCGGCTTCGGTATTCAGGGACATCAATCACCAGCGACAAGCAAAAAGCTCTGGTTACCATTATGGTTCAAATCAGACACCTCCAGAGCGCAATTCGGTCATAGGTGGGGCTTCTGGAAGCTGATTGGATAACGGCAGTTAGCCCTGCCTTGCTATTAGAAGGCAGGACCTGATTGGTAGAGGTGGTCCTAGGGGCGTGGCCCTGAAAAGTTTATCTACCCCTTTTCTCTACTTCCCGTGTCTCATGAGGTGAGCAGCTCTCCTCGGCCAGGCGCCTGTGTCATGGACCCTGCCTTGAAGCAGCTGATCTTGGACTAAAACAACTTCAAACTGTGAGCTAATCTGAACCCTCCCTCCTCTACTTTGTAGGTGTTGAGTGTTTTGTCCCAGTAATGAAAAAAGTGACTAAGACTTATGATACCTCATTTCAATTCCCATTTCCCCAGCAGATGGATGAATGAGAAAAACAATTGAAACGGCACCAGGTCTCTGAATGAATCCCAGAGTCCAGGCCCGGGGTGAGGCCATCCAGTGAAGGCTGTCTGCATCTGGCTCACCCGGATGTGACCATGAGCGTGGGAAGGCAGCAATAACCCATGAGGACCACCCCCAACACTGCCCTGTACCTAGTGGCCATGCCCAGCTGTGACGGCTGCTCCCCAGTACTGTGGCCTTTTCCAGGCAGGCACTGCTCAGGCTTACTCTCCTGCAGAATGGAAAAAAAGAATGACAGAAGTACAAGGAAACAAGATCGCACAATAAAGCCTGACCTAGGCCATGTGTGACTGGGAACACCTGTAATCCCACACCTGGGAAACTACGGCAAAAGAGTTGAAATAAGGTCAAGGTTATCCTGGATGTGGCGGCACATGCCTATACTCCCAGCACTTGGGAGGCTGAGGCAGGAAGATTGTCCTGAGTTATGGCCACCCTTGGCCTACAAAGTAAGTTCAAAGTCAGCCTGAACTGTACAGCAAGACTCTATCTCAAAAAAAAAACTAATTTAAGAAAAAAAAAATAGCCAGATCAGGTGATGCACACCTGACATCTCAGCATTCTGGAAGGCTGGGGCAGGAAGGAGGATCACAAATTGGAGCCCAGCCTAGGCAACTTAGCAATACCCAGGTTGGTGCAAAGGTCCCAGATTCAGCCCCAGCAGTGCAAAGAAAGAAAGAGTTTGATAATGCTTGAAGCTCCCAGGTGATACATCTCCTTGGCCATTTGGTAAATGGACGGTGGGACATCTACTTGGGTATAAAAATGGAGCTGTCCCAGGAGCCAGGATGAGTTGCCAGGCAGCATCGAGGCTCAAGGCAGAATCCAAGGTCCCAAGAGGAGGAAGCCACAGCAGGGAGTGGGGGAGGCCAGGCTGAAGTGGCCCAGAAGGCAAGCACCAGAAAGCACCCAGGATTCAAGGCTGGGCAAGTCCAGTCGGGGCTCTGCAGGCTGGGCTTCCTGGGACTTGGCCAGTGGGGCTGCTCTGCACAGGCAGCAGGAAGAGGTCTATTTTTTTTTTTTTTTTTATGTTAAATGACCCTGTTGAAGGCTTTTCCTTCCACAGGTGAGGAAATTTTACAGGGAGCGTCAGGGCTGCAGCTGGGGCTTGCGTGTCTCTGAGCAAACGTCACAACCCCACTGCGGACAAGGTGTGCAGGCTCACCTCTCTGATGGTGGAGCTCCTCCCCCGCCACGAGAACCACCAGCGGCCTCCCTTTTTGGGCATCTTATCCCTCATGATAGACTCCACCGTGGCCTGTTTCAAACGGATGGGAACAGAAATAATGGAACCGAAAGGAGATTAACTCAGCACACATTTGAACCGAAAGAAACACACAGGCAAACTAAAGAAGGACTAAAACAAAAAAGGAGAGAAAAAAAAAATCAGAGAAAACACAACATACTATTGATGGATTGAAAATTTTAGAGAAACAAAATCTAATGGCATCCAAAATTACAGTAAGGTAACTTAAGCATGAAGACTTAAAAAGGCGTGAAAAGAATAAACGAGCCACAAACAAAATACAACACGACAACGAGAAGAAAGAAAAGCATTAAAACATCATTAGTGATTAGGAAGACCAGGAGAATGCAAAGTAAAGTGCCTAAATGATTAAGATGCTGCCAGCCCTGTATGAAGAGTGTAAACTAAAGCATGACGTCACTAGTAAGGTGCAGGGTAAAACAGCTCTAAACAAACCCTAGGCTCTCAGGCTGTTTAGTAAATGTGAGTTCCCAGAGTTGACAAAGTGAGCTGTAATCGATGTGTTTGATTTAAACTCTCAAACATTAAAATTCGTATTGACAGCTTGAAGGAATAAAAGGTTTGATGGCACAGACTACATACAGTTTAATAATTTTCTAAGTATTTACAAAAAAGAATATCTACCCTTGGCTACTGTCAGGACCGGGGCAATGCTTTCTCATCTCTCACTTTATAGAACTTCAAGTAGCTGGTAATGATGAAAAGATTCAGTTCTTTCAGCCTACGGGGAAGCAGCTAAGTAGCAAATAAATAGGGACAGGTTTTTCCCGGAAAGTGCCGCTTCGTGGTCTTCTCGCAAACCCACCCGCTTTTTGCGTATGCTCAAATGTTCCTCCAATCAGCTGTCAACACGTCATCCTGCCTGCCTCTTTAGCCCCGCCCCTGTCAAATTCCAAATAAAACCTCACTTTTTTTTTTTCCCCCCAGTTTCCAGAGGATGCCTGTGTCTCTTCAGCAGCCCACCTTTGCCCGCAATAAAGTCCTTTTTCTCCTCTGGGTGCACTCGCTCTCTCTCCACGGAAGACCAAACAAAATAATTCATATATTTAGTCTAAAGCATGTTCCTTTCCATCGCTTAAAAAGATATATAATGGGCATTACAGAAAGCCTGGGCATACTGAAATGTATGTCAGATGCACACCACTCTATGTGCAGACCTCCCTGTCCTCCATAAGGTCACCCACAAATGTAACAAACCCTAGATTTATAAAAAAGAAAAAGTCGTCACGGGATTGTATTTTCAGACCTAGCTACAGATTCTGAAGTGGATTTCCAAAAACAAACAAAACTAGTGAAGAAAATTCTCTGAAGTCACAGAAGCAGATACAAATCCGACAAGCTAACAAAAGATATTTAAAAGCTACCATAGTTTACAAATGCACTGTTGGTCTATGAGTAAACATCACTGGAATACAGATTGAGGAATTTAGCTTGAGAAATAAATCATAAAAAACTAGAACAGATGACAGCAATGTAACTGGCAATCATCAGGGCAAGAATATTTAATGGATAACCTTGAAGTCATTACAAAACCACACCAGATCCCCCAGCCACCCACACCCCGACTTCCTCTGGGCAACAGATCTCAGACTGCTTCCGAGAGCCGGCTGCCATCTGATCAGGGCAACCTCAGCTTCAGTGAGTGAACCCCAAATCATCTATTGCTCCATCCACCACCACAGCAACCACCACTTGGAGGCGGTCTTGAGTTTCAGCCCAAGGAACAGGGGCCTCTGTCCCCAATCTTCCGGTTCTCAGCAGGCTGAACAAGGGAACTATGTGTCAAAAGGCCATCAGAGACTTATCAACCTGAAATACCAACCCTGCAGGTGCTTACTAACTCAGGACAATAAACCCCTACTACTTAAGCTGCTTTCTGCAGCTTAAGGTCACTGCATTTTCTGTAACCCATTGTATCCTGATCCAATAACCAGCTGGGAAACAATAGGCTTGGTTCTTCAAGTCTCCCCTTCTTAGCCACCAAATAAAAAAGTACAGATCGAAGTTGTAAAATGTAAAAAAAAGGCCTTTTTCTACACTGGTTTTGGAAATAGGGAAGCAAGATCATGGTGAGTGTGATACAAAATCCAGCACCCAAAACAATAAGATTGACAAATTCTACACTGAAAGAAATTCCTGTGTGAGAGAATCACCCTACACAGACAGCTTCAAAAAGCTTCAGGCTGAACTTGTTTGGCGTGCATATTACCAGGGCCCGTTTCACCAGCTCAGAGGACGTGTGACTCTTTCTCTATAAACTAAATTCTTCAACTCCACTGAAATTTTCTTTTTCTTATTAATTTTTTTTTAATTTTTTTTTTCCTTTTTATCGGTACCGGGGATCAAACTCACGACTGCCTGCTTGCAAGGCAGGTGCTTATGCTGCTGAGCTAAATCCCCAGCCCCCTTTCTTATTAATTTTAAGATCTGAGAAATGCAACATAAAAATATACCCCTGGCCACGCGTCTTCTGAAGACCCTGGCAAGGACAAGACCAAGACTGCTCTGTCGAGTACCCTGCCTCGGGCCCTCAGCCAATACGAAGTGCCACCAGGGTGAGGTCACAGCCCGACTTACACCGCCTCAAAGAACCTGCACCTGGGTCTCACTATTCACCATCACCCGCTCTGCACCAGCTAGCTCCCACTTGTAATCCCTGCACTGTGGGAGGCTGAGGCAGAAGGATCACAAGTCGGACTCCAGCCTAGGCTACTAAGTGACTCAGCAAAACTCAGAATACAATAAAAAGGGCCAGGGATGGAGTCAGGGCAAAGGCTCGGGGTTCAACCCCAAGAGCGCAAAAGGAAAATGCACAGAGAGATGTGAAACCCCTGATGGGTGCTCGCCAGTGGCAAAGCACACAACAAAATTAACTCTGCAGTCCCTAAGGGTCCAAGCCAAGCACCCGAGGGACCCAGCGGTCATCTGCAGGGCCGAGTCACAGCTCACCTTGGGCAGAGGTTTCTGGAAGGCCTGCATGGCCAGGAGCAGAGGGGCTGCAGTCGTCCAGTTGTAATACCTGACAAAACAGACAGCAGTTACTGGGGACCCGGACACTTGGCCACGCGAAGCCGCAGGTCCCCTGGAGCTCCCTACAGAGCTGCTGCTGCCGCTCCCTGCAGCCTCCCCTGGGTAGCAACAGGGTGGAGGAGGGACAGGGACAGGGGCTTCATCTGCACTATCCTGGCTGCCTTGATGCCAGGAGAGGACTCAAAGCATCTCCCCTTCACCGTCACTGCGACTCTGGGGAGGAGCCGGGAGTCACAGGATCCGGTGACTGAGGAGGAGGACACAGCCTTTCTGAGGGAGGATGCGGGCAGCAGCGGTCACTGGGTTTTTATCACACCTCAAGAAGACCCTCAGGAAAGAGGCCTCCAGAGTTGCTGCAGAACATGGCAAGGACAAGGGATGGGTACGTGGGGTGGGAGGGGAGGACTGTGACGGGGCTCATGACGAGGTGGGGTCTTTGCTGTCACAGTTTCTAAAATTTAAACTTTCACCATATTTTTTGATCACACCCCATATGAGTTTGTCAGTTTCAGTAAAAGGACGATTATGAGGTTTAACCAAGACTTTGTTCTCTGTATTTGGAACCCAGAACAGCGTCACGGCCAGGGGGAAAGGTCGGGCGCTTACTTATTACCGATCTTCACCACAAGGTTGGGGTCGTCGATGATGCCCGGGTTGTCCACAAACTGCTGGTACGACACGGCCTGTTCCAAAAATGCATCTGTGGAGCAGGGGAAAGGGACAAAGCGGGAGGGGGAGGAGATCTGATTTAAAAAGCAGGCTTTGTCCCTTTCTCTTTCACGAGTATTTACCGAGAGCTTATTCTGTGATGCAAACGAGCCCATAAAATATACCTGTCAAGGGGGGCTGGCTTTGTTCTGGGATCAGCGCCATGGGGGGCCTCACACATGACATGCTAGCACTTTGGGAGGCTGAGGCAGGAGGATTGCTGGGAATTCGAAGGCAGCCTGAACTACATTCATGTCTCAAAATGCAAAAAAGTAAGAAAAGGACTCTGAGATCAGCTAACTGCCAGCCACGTGATCTCCCCTCACCCAAAGAAAGCTGTCATAACCTTGGCCTGCTCGCTGGACTTCCCACCTGCGGCCACTGTGAGGCGCTGTGGTATCACACGCAGCCGCCTTACCTGTGGTGACTTCCCGGTGGTCGCTGAGGCCCCCGCACAGGGAGATGGCGATGGACGGCAGGTCCCGTAGGCCATCCGAGGTGCTCTCCACGCCGCTGTCTGCGCCTGAGCTGCCCACCGACTGCGGGGACTGGTTAGCCGAACGGGGTCCGAGGTCGCTGGTGTGCTTGGGGAGCCCGGCAGGGTCTCCGCTGCAGGAGAAGGACCTGTGTGAGGGCTCTGCTCTCCCTCTCCAGCCCTGGGAGCTCCTTACCCAGGTGTGATGGTGCCTGCCTATCATCCCAGCAGTCTAGGAGGCTGAAGCAGGAGGATCCCAAGTCTGAATCCAGCATGCGCAACTTACCAAGACCCTGTCTCAACATTAAAAAATAGGGAGGGGCTGGGCTCACACTTGGGGTCCTCCTGGCTGCTCTCAGGGTACACCACCACACCCAGCTCCACTTTCTAATCAAACACAAACCAGGGAAAACCAGACTCATGCAGACTAATGCTTGGCTTATGGAAAACACTAAGAACAAAAGGAATTTTACTTTTTGGGAAAGTACAGAGCTGCCACTTCAGGGTCCAGGTCAGTGAGCTCGTCCAGGTAGACGCCATCAGCACCGAGATGTCTACTCCGCTTATCTGCAAGTGGAAAGGATCCAGTCAGCAGAGCTCTCCCACAGGCAGTGGTGGCCTATGATCACAGCCCTTGGAGGCTGAGGCAGGAGGATCACCAAGTTCCAAGTCTGAGCCCAGACTGGTCACTCAGCACCTTAGTGAGACTGTTTCAAAAATAGAAAAGGGCTGGGGATGTAGCTCAGTGCAAAGGGAGGGCCTGGGTTCAATCCTCGGTACTGGAATAATAGAACTGCAGAGAGCGTGGGCTCCCCAAGACCAAGCTTGACGCCATCGCTACAGACAGAAAACCAGGTATGCACTGGGATTCAGGATTGGCAGGTGAGGGATCCCTGACCAGGACCACCTGTATTAGAATTCCAGAGTTCACGGACCCCAGCATCTGAAACACTTCTGGTCCTTGGCACTGGGGATAAAGACTCTCAAACTGGGTACTCAAAGTGACCGGTAACCCTGACCTGTCAGCCAGGTTAAGTAACATCTGTGAGATTAGAAATGTTCATCTCTGGGTGTGCCTGGGTGACCAGAGGGTGTGACACTAGGTACTCAGTCCTGGCTCTTTCCTCCCTGATGCCGTCCCCTGCTCTGCTCTTTGGCCACCATGAATCCAGCAGCTTTGCTCCCCACGCCCTTTGGCCACGATTCTCCTGCCTTGGAGTGGCTGACCATGGACTGACTCCCCTCAAGCGTAAGACCCACTCTCTCCTCCACTCAACTGCAGAAGGATGTCATGTCCAGCCATGGGATACGTGTCACATCACAGTGCCAGCCTTGGCTCACCTGGACCTCTGAGAGGACAGAAGGCACCGCGTACCACAGCGCCCAGCCTGCCTGGCCTCTTACCTTTCCTGCGGGGAGAGTCCGTCTTGCTCGCCGCCTGTGCCACGCTGGCAGCTGGGGGCTTGAGCTCCTCAGTCACAGGCAGGGGCGGGGCAGCCGCTCCCAGGGCCTCGATGTCCTCCTCCATCACCAGCTGCATCTCTGACTGTGGCTGGCTCTGGGCAGCGAGCAGCGCCCCGGTTAGCGTCGGCGATTGGTCACTGAAGGTATCTGAGGACTCGCTGTGGATGGCCTGGAAGTGGGTTTTGTCGAAGATCTTTCTGCTGCTCAGTGGGCTGGATTCTTTTATCTTGTGCAGAGAGGACTAGAGCAACAAGAAAGGGAGACGGGAGAAGGTCAGAGAAAGGGCCAGGACACAGGCAAGGAGACTAACAGCCACTAGTGGGGAGAGGTGGTCAGTTAACAACGTACTGTAGCAAAGGCCTTTATTTTTTACTTTTTCCAGTCCTGGGGATTGAACCCAAGACCTTTTCAAAAAACTGCATCCCCAGCCCTTGTTAAAATTGTTTTATTAGAGCTGGGTGTGGTGTACACACCTGTAATCTCAGCACTCAGGAGGCTGAGTCAGGAGAATCTGAATTCAAGGCAGCCTGAGGTAGAGTGAAACCTACCTCTAGACAGAGTGAAACCTTGTCTCAGAAAGACAAAAAAGGCCGGGGATTTAGCTCAGTGACACAGCACCTGCCTGGCAAGCACAAAGTTCTGAGTTCAATTCCTAGCACTCACCCCCAAAAAAAAGACAAAAAAATTTTTTTATTTTACTTTGAGACATAGTCTCACTAAGTTACTAAATTGGCTAGGCTGGACTTAGATATAGGACCTTCTTGCTTCAGCCTCCCAGAATGAATCTAATTAGAAAACTATTCTCTGCTACTATGAGGCGAGGTGGTATGGTCAAAGCAGCTACAAAGACAGGGATCCCCACGTTGCCAGCCAAGCTGCTGTCCCGTGTCTTTAAAATATACACAACCAGGCAAGGTGGCACACACTCCCAGCTCTCAGGGGCTGAGACAGGAGAATCTCATCCAAGTTCTAGGCCAGCCTGAGCGACACAGCAAGACCCTGATTCATAAAATGATAAAATGTAACTGCAACGAGTTGCCCCCAGAGTGCTCCCAGTTCCCTGGCCCCTTGGCTGGGGCCGTGGTCACTCTGGACCCCGAAGCTCAGCCGGGCTCACCTTGGCGGCCTGAGGCAGCTCCCCCCACAGCCACAGCATCTCCAGGTTGATCTTGGGCGCCGCGCGCTCACTGGACTTGCTCACTAGCTCAGAGTCGCTCTTTGGGGTGGCGGGGCGAGAGCCTGCTGGGCTGAAACCAACCAGTACACACGGTCACTTGAGAGGGCCATTGCTATCCCGCCTCCCGCCACCAGGCGTCGCCGCGCCCACGTCCACGAGGAAGGCGCCGGAATGAGAGCTCCGGGAAGACAGGATGAGGAGGAGGTGCAGCCAGGACCTGCTGGCCCTGTGCTCAGAATCCCCCCTCTACACTTCGGCCTGCGCCCTGCGCTCACGACTCCTGCAGTCCCACATCAGATGTCTACAAAAGGGCCCCAACAAGCCGTGACTTTCTCCTTAAAATACTCGCACCAGCCGGGCCTGGTGGCACACGCCTGTCATCCCGGCACTGGGGAGGCTGAGGCAGGAGGGACACCACAAGTTCGAGGCCAGCCTGGGCTACATAGCGAGACCAAAATAAATAAACAAACGACTGCAGGTCGGCACCGGTTTGAAAACAGAGAGAGCGTGTCACCGCCTGGCTTCCACACCAGTCAGGTGCCTGGGTTCCTCTGTGCCAACCACTCTCTAAGGTCAGCCTCGAAGATACATAGCATCTCCTCACCTGCATGCTCCCCACATTTCTAGTCTCTTTTTTTTTCAGAAGCACTGGAGATTGAACCCAGTTTCTCTGCACTGAGCTACAGCTCCACCCTTTATTTTTGATTTTGAGCCTGGGTCTCAGAGTCAGCTAAATTGCCCACACTGTATTCCAATTTGCAGTTCTCCTGCCTCAGCCTCCTAGAGTGCTGGGGTTACTGGGGTCCACTACCACGCTGGCTAATAGTTCTACTTTTAAGACCTAAGCAATGTCTCACTTCTGCCCAAAAGGAACTGCCCAAAAGAATCAACTTATGTACAATATTTGCACATCACACTAAACAAAATACGGCTGGAAAGAAGGCGCTCTTTATCTCTGTCTTATCTTTACTCTCTTGCGTCATTTCCTCTAGAAGGAGACACCACAGCAGAGCTTTGCAGTGGAGCAGGAAATGAAGAGACCACAATTTTCCTTTACATCTTTATCTATGTCTTAAGCAACTGTTCCTTGATGGCTGGGGCTGATTTACCGATGCCCGTAGCACACAGACTGCATAGCTTGCTTCCAGCCAATTGGCTCCCTGGTGGCCAACGTGGCCCTGAGTGTAGTGGCAAACGCCTGCAACCCCAGTGCTTAGGTTGAGGCAGGAGGGTCGCCCTGCGTTCAAGGCCAGCCTGGACTATACAGTGAGACTTTGTCTCAGAAAGAAAGACAGAAAGACAGAAAGAAAGAAGAAAGAAAGCTTTCAGTGTTTCGGCAGCCCCAGTTAGGCAAGTTAATCATAACTTCACTGTCACTGTTTTTTAACCTCATTTCCCTCATTTTAAAATGGTCCTTCGCACACCCAGAGCCTGAGGTTTGGGTTGTTTGGCTACTGGGGTTTTGTTTGGAGTTTGTATGGCATTTACTCTTTTGCTTATTTTTCTGTTTTTGTTTGGTTTTGACAGTGGGGTCTGAACCCAAGGGTGCTCTGTGACTGGGCTACGGTGCCCGCCCTTTTCAGTTCTTTATTGGAGGATGGTCCCAATCCGCTGCCAATCAGGACTCAAACCTGCCGTCCTCCTGCCTCAGCCTCCCCCAGCGCTGGAATTATGGCTGGGACCACCACCAACTTGGTTTGGTTCTTTAATCAAAAAGAAAGTTTTTCCAGGTTTTTATGAAGTAAACAATGTGAGGCCACAAAGTAGTAAGTGTAACACTGTGAAATTGCTAAGACCACTGTTTCAAATTAAAATATACAAACCCCGGGCCCATTTTATGTTGGTGAATCTCCCATGTGGGTCTCCTAAATCCTGTTGCAGGACTGCAGCGGGAAATGTCTGAATCTATCCTTCAGACAGCCTACTGGGCTCTTTAAATATTTATAAAAAAGTTAAGTTAAATTTTACTAACTCAGCATCCTAAGAATATCTAGTGGGTCTATCTGCCCAAGAACCCCAGACAAAAAAATAAAACATCATCTTCCCAATCTATATTTAATTATTCCACCTTCCAAAGTACTCCGCAGAAGTAGCGAGATGAATGATATGCTCAACCATATTTTCCAGAGACTGAGTTTTAAAGCTTTAAAAAAAAAAAAAGCTAGGGCCAGGGATTTAGCTCAGCGGCTCAAGCGCTTGCCTAGAACCTCGAGGTTGTGAGTTCAATTCCCAATACCAAAAAAACAGCTAAATAATCTACACAGTGAAAGGAAAACAGTATCCTCTGTGCCCTTCTTTATGAGTAAGGTGGTTAGTAAATTAGATCTGTTAGATCAAACTTCCTCTCGGTATTGTTTGGAGCTAAGGTCGGTCCGCTCCAGGCAGGGTTAATGTAAAGGAGATTAAGCGTTAGATCCGTTAGATCCAAAGATCCCCGACTGACCACGTCCCAGGGCTCGTATACCTTTCCGACGCGTGCAGGTAGGAGGACTGTGGCGGGCAAGAGCTAGAGAGGCCTCCCTCTGTGGTGACCTCGAGATGAGGGGGCGTCCGCTGGTGGTCTACTGGGCTGCGGATGTACCGTGATACACATTAAAACAAAAACAATCGCAGGTCAATTAGATGGCATTTCCTACTCCTTCTCTCCTACCTGTTTTTCTTTTTAGACAGGGTCTCACTGGGTAGACCAGGCTGGCCTTGAGCTCACTTTGTAGTCCAGGCTGGCCTCAAATTAGCAGCGACCCTCCTGTCTCAGCCTCCCAAGTGCTGTGGTTACAGGCGAGCACAGCCACACCCAGCTTCCTACCTAATTTTAACAGTGACATTTGTAAGACATAAAAGCATTTAACAGTGGGGCATGGTGACGCACACCTGTAATCCCAACACTTGGGAGGCTGAGACAGGCAGATAGTTGCCAGTTTGAGACCAGCCTGGGCTACAAAATGAGTCCAAAGCCACCTGAACCACATAGCAAGACCCTGTCTCAAAAAGCATTTAAGCATCTCATGGTTGACAGCTCTACCTAGAAATCTACAAGAAAGTGTTTGAAATTGACAAGAAATTGACAACACTTTCAACCACAAACAGGAAAGGGTTAAGAGGATTTCACCCCCCTTTACCTCCAGTGCCCCAAGAAAGGCCGCCTGGGTCCCGGCTCCTCATTCCCAAGATTTGACCAACTGTGCTGCCGGTCACCTCAGAATGGGAAGTGGCCTCCTGGTCCTAGCATGTAATTCCATCCTGTGGCCTCAACTGCAGCCCTGGCCGTGACCGCTGTCACAGACTCACAGTGCACAACTCGAACGGCTGAGCGCAGGCCGGGTTTAAGACATCCCTTCGAACCCGGAGACTCACATCTCTCACCCCACTGGTGGACGCTTTTTCTTTCCCTAAACTACGGTTTTCCCCTCAAAAGCAGTCTCTCCAGACCCAGGGAAAGAACACGAGGGTCCCTCCGAGATCTCCTACCCGCTCATCTGGAGCAAACTGCACTTTCCTCGTGGTGACACGGCCAGCTCAAACTGAGCGGAGCTGGATGTGGAGAACACACAGCGCATTTTGAAGACTAGGTACGAAAACAAGAATGTGCGCTATCTCCCCTGCTCCCCTTTTTTTGAGTGGTGGTGCTGAGGGTCTTTGCCCTGAGCTACATCCCCAGCATTCATTATTTATTTTAAAACAGTTTCTCTGTACCAGGACTCTGCACTCAATGGCCCAGACTGGGTTTGAACCTGAGATCCTCCTGCCTCAGCCTCCCAGAGTGCTGGAATGACAGGTGTGTACTGCCACACCAGCCTGGGCTATCACCTGTTTTATTCCCAACCTCAGCCCACACCGCTGAGTGCTATAGTCTCATTCTTGGGAAGACTCTAACCTCACTGGGACCAGGAGAGGCTGAGACCAGCTCTGGACAGAAACCCATGCGGCATATACAGGGTGATGTCTCTGTGAGCCATGAGAAAACAGGAAAAGCTGGGTACAAGAAAACCCGGATGTCACCGCCTCGCGGGCAGACAGGCAGTGCCACAGGCTGAGGGCTTTGAGGAATTCTCGGCCCGACTCCAGCCACCTGACCTCTCAAAGCCACAGCCCGTGATGGAGACCACAGCCTGCAGTAACACCTAAGCTCTCTGGAGGCTGAGGAAGGAGGGTCCTTGAGAATTCAAGGCCAGCCTTCGAGGGGGCTCCAGGCACAGTGTCTTTTCCTGGAATGCATTCTCCTTGCATTTAAACATTCAATACGTTGTTCAAGCCCACCTCTGTTTTGTGATTCTGGTACCATGGATTAAGGGCTGAGGATGGCATCACTATCACAGCGGCCCCAGAAGGAACAGTTCCACTTTTCACCCTGGCTTTGGATTAGGAACCAAGGGCAGCTCAGCCACACTGCCGTCCACGTCCACCAGCATCCCTCAGCCACACGAGTATCTACTGTCAGGGACACTAGGGACCCTGCGTTTTTCGAACTCCAGATGATCCTCCTGCCTCAGCCTCCCGAGCTCTAGGGTTACTGGCGTGCACCATCACGCTCGACCCCGTAACTGACTTCTAAGCCTCTGGGCCAGGAAGGCGAACCCTGATGTGCACAGCAACTCACCTCGGGCAGGGGGACCACTCTCTCTCTGAGTTGGGGTAGGAGGCCGACTGCCTGTACAGTGAGACGGAGGGGAGGTTTTCCTTGGGAATTTCATCTTCGAACAGCGGAGCATCACTAGGAGGCACTCTGGAGACAGAAGACGGAAGAGGTCAAAGGCTCACATTCCAGACAGCTGAGGGCGAGGCAGAGATGTCAGCGTGACGCATGTGCTTGCACACTTGGGCTTCGGTTGAATTATAAATCTAGAAAGTGTTTGTTGAGTCAGTCGAGGTGACACACATTGCAATCCCAGCCCTGGGGAGGCTGAGGCAGGAGGACTGCTGCCAAGTTCCAGGACAGCCCGGGCCACACACAGAGCTCAAGACTAGCCTGAACTAGACAGTGAGACTCCATGGGAAAGAGAGGTGCAGGGAGGGAGGAGGGGGTTAATGCTTCTGCGGAAACATGGGCACCAATCCGTGGGGTAGGAGATGACACCATGGCATCACGTCTGTCACCATTCGTGTTTAAAGCAGAATCCTGAGCCATCCAGAGCCCGACACTAGGCCCCAGTGGACAGAACCATTGAGGCCTCCACACAGCAAGGGGAATGAATGACCTTGAGCAACTGGGGCTTTGGGCTGCAGAGCCGGGCAGCTGGGGGTCCGCACAGGCATCATGGACGTAAGCCTCAGTGGGGGGGACTCCCGCAGGGGGCACAGCAGGGCCCCCTGCCCATCTCTAGCCAGCAAAAAAAGGCATCTTCTTCAGTTCTGAATCATGTCGAGAAAGGACATTCCCGACCTTCCTCATATCGCTTCTTCATGTGACCAAGATATAAACCAGGGAACAGCAAGACACCTTTAAAAATGAGTTTTCAAACGGCTACTTTTCACCAAAAACGTCAGGCATACAAGCAGAATTTCCCAGCAGACTTAGAGGTAAATAAAATGGGGGGGGGGGTGTAAAAAAATATATATATCCATTAAATTCTGGGCCCGGTCCGAATGAAAACGGAACAAGTCTGTTTGTAGACTGGAGTGTGTGCCTCAGCCACTTCTGTTTTTATTTCTTGAGACAGGGCCTCACCATGCAGCCCAGGCTGGCTTTGAACTCTCGGGGATCTTCCTGTCTCGGCCTCCCAAGTGCTGGAATTACAGGCACGTGTCACCTAAGTAAGACTCCTAGCTATCGTTTCTCACTAGGAAGGACCAACCCCAGGGCTTTCACACCGAGCGAGACCCTCAGTCTCTTTTATCTCACTTCATTTCACACACGGTGTCATGAAGTCACTAAACTGCCCAGACTGAGCTTGACCGTGGGGCCTCCTGCCTCAGCCTCGAGTTCTGGGATTACAACGTGCACACCACCGGCTTCCATTCCTGTTTCTCGACTCCATCCTGGACAGCTGACGTCCAGAACACTCGGCACTCCCAGCTGTCTCTCCGTCACATGCTGTATCTCTATCCCACTCCACACCTGGGCCCCGATTCCAACTTCAGCCTCACCGAAGATAAGAAATCCCATGTGGAGAAATAGTGCCTGTGAGACCGTGGCGCACACCTGTGATCTCAGCACTCGGGAGGCTGAGACAGGAGGGCTGCAACCAGGGCCAGCCCAGCCGCACAGCAGCCCCGGGGCAGTCACCTGCTGCTGTCCGGCAGCCCCGCCTCCTCGTCCGAGCTCATCTCCATGGGGAACATGTCCTCGTCCTCAGACGTGTTGGTGGTGTCGTCCCTTTTCAGGCTGTCCAGCTGGGACTTCCTCCTCCGCTTCCTCCTCTTCTTCACCAACGAGCTGTTGGACGTGGCCTCACTGGGTGGCAGGACTGGGGCAGGGGTGCTGGGCTCCAGGCTCCGAGTCCCGTCCGCCACATTCCTCCGCAGGTGGCACTCCATGCGCGAGACGCCCTCCGAAGGGATGGGGGACGTGGCCAGGTACGTGGGGATCACCTCCTGCGGGGGGATGGGGGACAATGGGCTGGGGCCTCGATTGGGAGCCCGGCACCCCGGGGACAGAGGGTCACAGCCCCAGGACTAGGGGCACAGCTGCTCCCTCCCACAGAGGATCAGAAAGTAACCGTCACCAAAGATGGGAGGATAGCAGACGGATACGTGCCAGCGACTTTAGGGGAACAAGCCACGCCAAGAGGAGTAAGGGTTGGTGTGGGGCACAGCGCTCTCGAAGGGGACTGGATTTCACATTTCAGACGGAGGACAAATACAGGGTGCGTGTTTCTAATACACACTGAATTAAGGTAAGACTTTTTTTTAATGAGGAATCACCAGCTGATGGCTGTGCCTAAGTGTAGGGGCACCCATAGGGTGAGGCTGCTGAGCAGGGGTCCCTTGGCCTCCTTCCTCAGAAACAAACAAGTCCCAGCACCCGGGAGGCTGAGGCAGGAGAGTCGTCATATGTCCAAGGCCAACCGGGGCTGCAAGGTGAGTTCAAGGCCAGCTTGGACTCCCCAGCTAGACCCTATCAGAAAGTAATAGAGAATAAGGCTGGGGATTCAGCTCAGCAGCACAAGCGCCTGCCTGGCAAGCATGAGGTCGTGAGCTCGATCCCTGGTACCAAAAAAAAAAAAATTGAACACACATACATACATATATATACACACACACACACACACACACACATATATATAATATATATATATATATATATACACACACACACACACACACACACACATATATATATATATAAAATATAGAATATAGCAGGGATCTGGTCACTCACTAAATAAAATCAGGACGCCTGGCCATGTGACCTCTGCCCCAACAGCGTGGCCCACATGCTGTGGACATGGCTGGGCCCTCCTCACCTGATCGTTATCGGCCTCCTGCACAAAAAAGGCTTCCCCATTGTCCCCCAGTTTCATGTGCAAGTCCACAGACTCCCCGTTGATCTCTACGTCCACCTAAAAGGGGAAATCAGAAATGGGCAGTGCTAGCCCCACAGGACAGCTCACGGGCACAGGTGCCTCTGGTGACCAACACCCAAGACACCCACAGCCCTAAGCCCCGTGCATCCCCATCCAAGCACATCCACCCCTGGCACATCCGGGTCCAGCTCAGGACAGCGCAGCCCTGACCCTGAAGAAGAACAAAGTCTAGGATGGAGGCTGGGACAGATACACTGCCCCAGGCCACCTAGCCCAACTCCCCCTTTCCAGCTGAGATGCTGAGCTGGGACCCAGGGACAACCGACCCCAGGCTGCAGAGGGGAGGGTGCAGAAGCCAGCGTCAAGCTGCAATCCACATCCAGTGCCCGGACTTCAGACAACACCTGGAACAGCCTGCCACGGGCTGGGACCCCAGAACCAGCCTCCGCCCACAGAACCAGCCAGGTACCACATCCCTTCCCGGCTCCACAGCCAGGACGTGAGCAGCCACTTGGAACAGTTTCTCTCCAGGCGGGCGGCAGGTGGGCTTCTCCAACACTTCGCCATGAACCCCCCTCAGAATCCCCTGACTTTGCACACACTCCTCCCATCATCCTTGCTGCTTTCCGCAGCAGCTCTGGGGTCCTCTTTCCTGAGGGTCTTTACCAGGTGGGATGAAAACCACAGTGACTACTGTTGCCCAGGGCCACCCAACAGAGGCAGCATGTAAAATCACGACACCATCCGCATCCACCTCAGTCACTGGATCTGGCACCGTGTGACTTCCGGCTCTTCCCCAGAGTCACAGTGACCATGAAAGGGAAACATTCTGAATCCATTCAGGAGATGGGGGAAGGCAGGACGGCACAGACAAAGACCCTCAGGAAAGAGGACCCCAGAGCTGCTGCAGGAAGCAGCCAGGACAGTGAGATGAGCACTTGTAAGGACAGGCAGGGTTCTCGGGGATGCACGGCAACACACTCGTGGCTGTGACACACTCCTCACTATAAACTTCCCCGTGTTTTTCAGCCTGTGCTCCCTGCCCACCTGTCTTCATGAGTCGCTGCCCCTAGCCCCACGGGGGGGGGCATGGAGGTGCCCCCCATGGAGGTGCCTGGCCAGAGGTAAGGCTCAGACCTCATCACAGAGGGGACCAGGTGCCAGCCACAGTGGTGAGCGGACAAACTCTGCCCCTGAGCCCACTCAGATCCCTGAGCCTGGGGGCCCGGCACCTGGGTGCTGGGGCACAGCCTGAGGGACACAGTGGTCACTGTCAAGAAGGGGGCGGCTGACAGGGTGAGTCCGAGAGTCAGTCAGGACGGCGGTCCCAGGCCCCCTCACAGCAGCCTTACCACTTTCTCCCGGGAGCGCAGGACGCCCATCTTCCCGAAGCGGACGTGGAACGGGGAGCACTGCAGGGTCCCATTGGGCTGGCGGACAACGATGATGTCGATGCACCCGGACAGGGTGGCGGGGTTCAGTCCCTTGTAAAGCTCCTTGACCGTCACGAACACTTGGCCGGCCAGCTGCCCCACGTAGTTCATGGTCTGAGCCTGGAAGCAGACGGGAACCTCAGGACTCTGAGCTCAGGACAACCTCACGATGCTCTCCCGCCAAGCTCAAAAATCAGAGGCTCTGGCAGGAGGTTTCCAAGTTCAAGACAAACCTGGGGAACTGAGACTCAGCAAGATCAGAAAGAATAGCTGCCATCAAGAAAACAACCAACAACAAATGCCGGCGGGGCTGAGGGGAAAGGAGCCCTTCTCCGCTGTTGTTGGGAGTGCAGACTGTGCAGCCCCTGTGCAGGTCAGTCTGGAGATTCTGCAAAAAACTTGGATTGGGGTCCCTTTCAACCCAGCTATCTCCCTTCTGGGTATCTTCCCAAAAGAATTAAAAACAACATTAAAAAATTAAAAACCACCGTCATATATGTGTACTCATGGTTATAGGAGCACAATTTGTAATAGTCAGATCTTGGAAACAAACTAACATGCCTGTCAACTGAGGAATGGATAAAAAAGATGTAGTATTTTAGGGGCTGGGGATTTAGCTCAGCGGCATAAGCACCTGCCTTGCAAGCAGGCAGTCGTGAGTTCGATCCCCGGTACCGATTTAAAAAAAAAAAAAAAAAAAGATGTAGTATTTTAAACAGAACGGAGTACTACTCAGACATAAGGAAAGATAAACTTGAGACATTTACAGCTCAATGGATGGACCTTGAGCCCACACTCATAAGTGAAATAAACTGGACACATGTGTAATTATCACGTTATCTCTCCAGTATGAGAAACTGAAAATGTGAGAACACAAATGTACGCTAGACACTGTGAAATAGCAAGGAACTGTTCCAAAGGGAAAAGCAAATGGGGAGGGGGCATGAGAAACAAAAGACAGGAAAGAAAAAATGAGAAAAATGGATAAAATGAAGACCCAGCTTTGTTAGTGGGGAGCAGAAGGGGATTTGAAAAGAGGCGATGGGAATGGGGGGAGGGGAAACAAGATGATTCACGCACACATAGGATTTCTCTATAACAAATGTGGTCATTATATATACCGAAATTGTACCAATAAACTACATAAATGATAATAACAAATTAATTAATAAAGATATTAAACAGGGCTGGTGATGGAGTTCAGTCCAAAAGCCTCGGGTTTGGGCGTGGTGGTGCACACCTGTAGTCCCAGCACTTGGGAGACTGAGGCAGGAGGATCATTGAGTTCAAGACCAGCCTGAACTACAAAGTGAGTGCAAGCCCAGACTGAACTGCATAGCGACTTTGTTTCAAAAAACAAAACAAAACCAAAAGAAAAGATCCTCAAAGTCACAAGTTCAAACCCACCATGCCTGGTGAAGATACACATTTCCTATGTCTGTGAGTTCCCAGGTTTAACTAACCTGAGGCTAGCAGGGGAGGGCCAGGGTCCTACAGAAACAATAACAATGTATCCTAAATAAGATGCAGTGTATCCTAAGGCCTGCCATATTGCTACAATGGCACACAATAGGATGTTACTGTATAACCTATTATTAAAATTACTGCTGAAATGATACATTGTAACTCAGTGCTTCTTACAATGAATCCTCCTTTATGGACTGCGAGGTCACTGCATGGCAAGGTCACTCCCCCAGCCCAGGGCAGTCCCACTGAGAACTCCAGCTGATGGACTGACTGGTCACTAATTGTGGCTCTGGTCAGATGTCTTCCCTGCTGCACAGGGAGCAGCAATTCAAGGTGACCTCAAGGTACCCAAGTTCAGAGCAGGAGGATTCTGTTTCCAGAAAATAGAAAACACACCCAGAGACTGAAGTCACTCAGACAGGCCTTCCAATGTGGCACAGGAGACAGGGCTCAGACTCCCACAGGACGCCCCCTGCAGCTGACACTGGACTGGGCTGGAGTCTTTTCCGACTGCATAAATTTTGCAAGGTTCTCTTGAACCCATTATGTAACCCAAACTGGCCTTCCATCCTCCTGCCTCAGCCTCCCAAGGACTGGACTCACAGGTGTGCACCACCCCACCTGGTAAAAAGAGAATTTTCACACACACCACTTCATGGATAAACCACAGGGCCACTACAGTAAGGGGAAGCCAGTCACAAAAGACGTACACTGCAGGACTCAGACGCCACTGGATGGGGCACTTCATGGTAATGGGATCACAGTTTGTTAGGTATATTTTACTGGGAACCACAAATTCACAATGGCTAATCTTGCATCCCTCCTTGAGGGAAAAATAGAGGCTTTGGATTATGGTGTCACCCTTCTGAGACTTCCTACCAGAGCTTGGGATCAGCCACCCACTAGAACTAAACTATGACTGTAAGATGGAGGAGAACACTCCAGAGTCAGACTCTTCTTAGTGTAAAATCAGCTCCGTCCTCTGGAGGCATCCCAGGATTATCTGTTGCTGCTGAGTAACCCACCTCTGAATCTACAACCAGCCCAATACCCAATAAATCAATACTGACTGGTGCGAAGCATCTAGGTCTCTGCCCGTCCCGAGGTGCTGACCTCCAGCCCCCCATCTTGCATTACTAAATCTATTTCATCCTTCATGGAACCCCTCACACAGGCAGCTGGGGATCACACCCAAGTCCCTGATAGTATAGTATCTTACCTCAATTAAATTTTTAAACAAAGGGGGAGGGAGAATTCTGTATTAACCAGAACTCATTTCAGGAAGATGACTTAAAATACTATGTGGAAAGCCTATCATGGTAGCACCTTTAATCCCAATACTCAGGAGGCTGAGGCAGGAAGATCTCAAACCATGCATTTGAGAACTCAAGAGTAGACTGAGCTACACAGTAAGTTCAAGACCGGCCTGAACTGCATATACAGTGTCCTGCTACCCCTCTCCTCAAAAAAGGAACTTAAAAAAATAAGGCTAAGCACTTTTTCCTTCCAGATTCTCTTCATAATCAATGCTGGGCAAATACTTAGAGATCGCGGTGTAAATCAGCTGAGCCTCGACTTCCAATGGTCACTTCCTCCAGCTGCCTTTAAAGTAAGAGACCAGGAAAGGGCCAGCTGACATGAAGACCTGAAGCCAGCTGAAACTGGCCCGACCCCTCCTGCGCCACTAGAAAACCTCACCTCGGCTCTTTCCCGAGTCCTGGTGTCCAGGGAGACGCGGGATCCGGGAGCGGCAGGGGTATTTTATAACTTCAAGGTAACAGAAGATAATTTAAGCAGGGAAGAGAAGAGAACAAAATAAAACGCTTCTATTTCCAGTGGAACAGCTTTGAGACTCCTGCTCCTTGTCAGCCCAGGTAGCCTTTTTTTTTAATTAGGTGTTGAGAAGGGGTCTTGATATGCAGCCCAGGCTGGCGTTGAACTAGATGCAATCCTCCTGCCTCAGCCTCCTGAGTGCTGGGATCATCATTGTGTTTTTAAACGCAGTGTCCTCACTTTGACCTTCTGGAGCCTCGCAGTTTTCTGAGCTTGGGCGGCCTAGGTGGGCGGATGCTTCCCTGGCAAAGGCAGGTGCCATGGGGAGTGCAGGCTCCAAAGGAGTTCCAAAGCCACGGCAACCTCAGATTGTTCCAGAAAGAAAAACGCTGCCAACCCCGTCAGGAAAAAGTGAAAGGGGTCTCACACCTCCTCGGCCAGCTGTGATGTTAGGAAATTCTGTGTCTAGTGCCAAATAACCAGAATCTGTTCCCAGGCTTCTTCACCAGGTCCCAGGAGCAAGGCCCGGCCTCAGCCAGAGCCCCGGGGCCAACACAGGACAGGCCAGTGGAGGATGAGGGTGGGGGAAGGGCGTGGTGGTCACAGAGAGGCCAGGGCAGCCCCACCCAGCCAGGGCCGCAGGTGGCCCAGGCACCAGCATTTCCCGGGCACCCCCGGCTGGGTATTGCTGGGGTGGGGTGACACCCATAGCACACTTCCGGGCACCCCAATCCCACTGTGGGGAGGGGCAGTCCTCAGACACAGAGACCCACTCCAGGGGTCACAGCTGTGAGAAAGAGGGAGGAGTGAGGTGGCGGGCTGAGCTCAGAGCTCAGGACAGGAAAGGGCAAGGCTGATGATGATGGACCAGGGCAGCTTCAACTCGGTAAGGACTAATATTCACGCATAACTGAAAGGAAAAACTACAACACCATTTATACCCTAAACCGGGGTTTTAATTCCAATGCATACCACTGAAGTCTGGAAGGTACAGACCCACCAAGCAGGGCTCCTGGGGATCAAGCTGGGTGTGAGGGCGCACACCTGCCATCCTGGCACTCAGGAAGCTGAGGCAGGAGGATCACCACAAGTTCAAGGGTTTCACCAAGTTGCCCAGGATTGGCTTAAACACGAGATCCTCCTGCCTCAGCTTCCCAGAGTATCTAACCATTTTTTAATAATCTCAAAGAATTGGTGGTAAGGGAGGCAGGAAGCTCTGGTCCCTCCACTCAGTCTCTGTATCACTGAAACCACTGGACAGGACGATGGGGAGGCCGCCTGCTGTCACTGGAGAGTCAGGGGTGACCACTGGCTCTGCCACAGCTGAGGTTTTGCAATGCGTGGCACTTGGATGCCATGTGACAAGTGTCCCCGGGTTCCTGCCAAGGAACACAGAGGCCCTGGAGAGCAGGGGTGAGGATATCAGAGACACAGTGTGCCCCTCCTGCACTGCAAGATGGCCTGCGGCTGGGAGAGCCCATCTTACCCGAAGGCGTGGTCCCTTCACTGTCTGGCCAGGGGGGTGTGGGCGGGCACTCCAGCAGGGGTTGGAGTCCAGACCCCTCTACCTCAGCGGCAGGGCCCTGCCCGTCCCCAGCAGGGCGCATGGCCTCCTCCTCCTATGACTCCATAGCTCGGGGTGGGTTACTCACTACCTAGGCCTCAGTTTCACGCCTGTAAAATGGCTGATTTCAACTGCGCCCTGAGCACTGGATCGCGGGATTCGAGGACCAGGTGCACGCACCCTATAAAAACACGGGGTGCATTCTACAGTCATGCAGCTCCAGACAGCTGGGCACAGTGGTGCACATTTGTAATCTCAGCACTTGAGAGGCTGCGGCAGGCAAATCCCTGTGTTTGAAGCCAGCCTGGGCTACAGA